GGGAGTCGCGCGCGCGCGCGCGCGCGCGAGAGAGAGAGAGAGAGAGAGAGAGAGAGAGAGAGAGAGAGAGAGAGAACAAAATCAAATGAATCCACCGCTAGAACATGGAAATATACATTGCGCACATGCGCGCAGCACACAGACGTGCGCAGCGAACCGTGCAGCGCGCACTGCGCACCCAGATGCGCGGCGCGCACACCGCACCCTGGGTCCGTGCACAGTGCACAGTGCCGGTGCGCCGCATATGATATATATATAATATTTTATATACCGACAGTCTGTAGAGTTTTCCATCTGGTGTGGGTGAGTGATAGTCTAGTTTGATTTTGGTTAAGGTAGATTATCATTTACAGTGTAATCAGTGAGGGGATTCTGCAGACTGTCGAGGGTTCAGCCTCCTGACGAGTCGGTGACACTCCGACGAAACAGTTTGTCACAGCCCCTCGTTTGTTGTCCTCTTCTCTCTCTCTGCCTACGGTTTACCGGGCAGTTCTGTTTGTGACGATATATATATACATAGCCCTTGAGAACTGCCCGGTGAACCGTATATATCCATACATCTCAAGATTCTGACCGCATACAGATATGTATATTACTCTATTGTGCTATTATTATAATTATATTAATAAAATTAAATTTCATATTATATTATTATATTATCGACCTTATTGTCTTCCAGAGTTCAAGTCTGAACACATACAGAGTCGGAAACACCACTTGTCAAAAAGAGCAACTTGAGTGGGAAAAAAAAAAAAAAAAAAAAAAGAAACCGGTTATTTTCCGCTCAATTTGCTTCACACCCGTTGAAAGGAGCAAATTGTGAGGAGAAAAATGTAAAAATCATAAAAGTGTTAAAAAAAAAAAAAAAAAAAAACTTGTGCAGCAATTACGTACTTTACTACTTGTCGCATTCCAGCTCGAGCACCACGTCGTCGCAGAAAAAGTGCAGAAACTGCCAGAAAGTGTTTTTTTTTTTTTTTTTTTTTTTTTTTCTAAAACTTCCCCCCCCCCCCCCCCCCTAGCTCAGTTGGTACACCCACAAACTGTTGAA